GCTGGGGTCTCGGCATCTTTCTCTCCTCCGTTGTTGTGCGCGCTACCTTAGTCATGGAAGGACAGTGGTCCTGGCGACTTCCTTTTGTTCCTCGGTGAATGTGGCCGCGTCGCTCTCCTATTTGTGCTTATTGCGTGCCCGAGTCGCCGTGGTGGCTCGTTCGTCAGGGTCGCCACGAAGAAGCCAAAGAAAGACTCCGTCAATCGGCCACAGCAAAGACAAAAAGCGAGAAGGCATTCAAAGAGAGCTTCGCGATGTGGTTCACACCACGGCGCTTCAGGAGGCCGAGGCGAAAGGAGCGAGCTTATTCGACTGCTTCCGTGGTGTCAATTTAAGAAGAATTGAGGTTGTCAGTCGCGAACATATTAGTGGACGACGTCCGTAAGGCTGCTGGAAAGCTGACTAGGCTGCCGGAAAGCTGACTTGATTCATTCCATTCCTGCAACAGGTCTGCGCTGCTTGAGCCTTCCAATGGCTATGCTGGGACCCACTGATGGGCTTCTCGGTCTATTTTTACGAACGTGCAGGACTGTCGGAGACAAACGTCTTCAATTTGAATATCGTCATGAGTACTACTTATTTGATCGGCACCGTAATTTCCTGGGAAGTCGTGGACCACTTAGGCAGACGAGCAATCTACACCTTCGGTGGGTTCTTCTCCTGTATCATCTTGGCCATCATCGGCGGCTTAGGCTTTGGCGACAGCTCATCAACCAGTGATCGATCGGCTCGCCACTTATCGCCCTCGCCTTTTTCTACAACTGCACTATCGGACCCGTCTGTTACTCGATCGTATCAGTGAGCTTTCGGATTTCGTGCTCGAGCAATTTCGCCACAATAATATTGGGAATGCAGACCTTACAAAGAAAGGGGCTTCCATTTGCGGCAGAGGAGCATGTATTCGCTTGAATTTCATATGTGGACGCTGAGGTAGGCAGAGTCACGACCTGTGGACAGATGCTGCAAGGACAATGCCCTTTTTCCGTCTGCCTCGGTATCGCACGCGCAGGTCACAATGACGAGGTCTTTCATGCGAGGAGTAGACCGCCTTTTAGAGAAAGCATCGTGTTTTTGCCGAGAAAGCTGAGGCAGCATTTTATGGATTGGATCAGGTCTCCGGCGGCTACAGGTATGCGAGGGTTGCGAATGCTAGCTTAGCAAACGTCTACCTAGACATGTACTCATGCCAAAAACCAGTTTGCGATGAGCTGCTCCCTTGTAAAGCACCTTTTTACGGATCGCTCGATGCCTGAGATGCGTTTTTCTCGGTGATTAACGGAGGCTCATTGCATCTTCTGATGGACTTGGGCGGTTATGGGGACATGGAAAGTTTTCTGACTCACAGGAATGCAGCGACGTAAGTACAGCGAACGCGTCACTCTTTCAAGAGGCTGAGAAAGAAAATTAAATGGTGAGCGACAGCATCGAGCTGCGACATACTCTCTGCGCAAGTCTGCGTTGGCTTATCTTACCTTCATGATGGTCAAGACAATCAAGAGTCAGTGATTCATCACGACTAGAACTCATCCAATGGCAAGCATATGTATCACAAATTTGTTAGATGCGGTAAAGAGGCTGATAAGAAGAATGTAAGTCACGATATTGTTTTTGCCAGTCTTGATTGACCAAACCCTCCGCGCAAAAATCGCCGACTTGGACTTGGCGATCGTACGTCAATTAGACATGGAAGGGCGTTGGGGCATCGCAGGTATAAGCACATACCTCCGCCATCTTATCGTATCGTGCTATTGCGCTTACAGCATAAGCACTTCAATTTCTCCTCCAGTGCAGACACCTGGCTTCAGATCGCCTGTAAGTGAAAACGTGTGACAGCTAACCTTGCCTCGAACCTTTTCTGTGGCTAATAGAAAATACTGAGAGAGGAAAATACGGCGTGAAAAGCGGCTTGTGGTCTCTCGGGTGCCTTTTCTTCCAAATCTTGACAGAAAAGTGAGTGCCAGTAACTTGCTGAGGACTTCAGCATCTCACACCGACCTCTTTGTGCAGAAACATGTTCGATGAAGGTGGAAGTCAACAGAGATCAGAACATTCTACAGAGCTGTAGCTTGGCCGCTCTTGCCGATCTCGATCTACCTGAGAAAACTTCGGTGAACAACCTTCTTCAAGCTGTCGTGAGCTCATGTGCCAGTTGACAAAAGTGGCTTGAGACGCTCATCATCTTCGGTCCTCGTCACAATTGCTTCTGCTAAAGGAGCCATTGCAGAAACTCTCCTCAGCCAAACTACTCGCTAATTCTGATATAATAGATTGACTTGCGGATACGCCTCCTAAATAAGTCTTGCCTTCTTCCAACCATATGGACGCATCTAACTCAACCCATCCGGAAGCATTGATCTTGTGCATTGAGAGAAAGCTCTGGTGCCGCCTCACAAGGTGCGCCCGTGACGCAACCGGGGGTCTGCCTAAATCCTATTGTTGTCACAAATTGGTCCAACAAGGATCGCAAAGGTCTTTGCGAGGCTGTCTTGTCTCACAATCTCGAGCTCGGATCAGAAAGTGAAATGATGATTGCCACAGTAGACTGTGTAAGAATGCGTGGATCTGTTTATTCTAACAACTTAGATGAAAGATTATGTCACACACATTCGCACATACGCGATCATTGACCTGAGACGGGAGCCAAAGGTTCCACAGAACCTCAGAAATGGAACTCTTTGGATCTTGCCCCGGCTGACACAGGTGTTTAGCATAGAGGAGCTTGAACTGGGACAGGCCTAGCTATGTCCGATGAAACGCACTGACTCGCATCAGCTATGCTGGTGCGTGCAGTTCAAAGGCTGCCTTTTTGCTGTGGCGCTTGTGGTTCTCGATCAAACTTAACGCCACCAATGCACACTATCCTTCAGTACAAGTGGCGAGATATCTGCTTTCTAAATAAGCATCGGCAGGAGAAAAACAAAAGACAGATTCCAGGAGAAGGCACGAAAAATACTCAAATTAGACTTCAAACTCATGCAGTTTCATCGGCATTCAAAACATTCAAAGAGAAAAGAAAGTGACCATCCGCAAGGCAGAATCTCTGAAGCCATCACTTTCCAAAGACAGCATGTCTCCAGGAAAATCACTTTCACGATTTCTAGACTCCTAGCACAGAACAAAACAGCATGTTAATTCATGCCAAAAAGTGACCAGGGCGTCTTTCGGGCTTTCAACATTCAGAGGTACAGCCTCGAGAAGGGAAGTCAATACTTTCACGACATTACCGAGCCCATGATTCAAAAATGAAAAATGAGCGCGGGTAGAGAGCTAAGAGCTCTTACTCGAAGTAGAAAGGAAAAGAGCAATAGAAGGTACTGACTGAACTGAGCCATGGACTTCTTTCTGGATTCGCTCTGAAGCCAGGACCGGACCTAGCTCAAAAAAAGTATTTTTATGTTGCCATATGCGCTACCGGACTTATTCAATTGGGCAATTGTCTGTGTTTAAGAACAGTCTCATCCGTTGTCTTCTTTTGATGCATTGCTGCATCCATGATCATAGTTGATACCGACGTCAACCATTATTGGTTCGCAGACGTTTGCACAAATCTGATCGACATAAGATTCGATGTCGTTCGTCGATGCACCATCTACTTGAGATAGTGGAGGTGAAGAAGAGCATCACAAGATCCGATCCGAGTTGAGACCTTTCAGGAAGCTGACGAGGACAGGTATGACGGATGCGAGCCTTGGACAGGCGTTGGTGCTCGCCGAAAAAAGGCTGTGGCATACCAGAATACTGTGCTGAAGATGATGCTCTTCTTGTATGACAGGCTTTGGTCTCCGAGCGCATTGTTGAGCGGGCGGTAGGCTCGACATTGCTCGTGCCTGTTTCGCAAGAATCTATGGACCAGCATTTTTCTTCTTCGAGAATTTTGTTGATGCTCATGAGGCTTCATGACCAGCATCCGTGATATCACAGAGCTCGTCTTCTAAGTCATTCCCGTATGGCCATCATGTTATTGTTGAAAAGATTCACTGGACCAACAATAGCTAGTGCGTACCTGTCTCCTTGTTTGAGGACCAGGAATGCGCCTTTTGATGCCGTGAACGACTCTGTAGTGCGAGCCGCCTAAGGCTCACTAGCCTTGCAGTCTTTTCAGGGATGGCTCTTCCGGTCGAAGTGCTTGCTGTCGGCAGAATGTTCTCGCCACTGGCATCAAGGATCGTTCGCAGCATATTACTTCTCTTCTTGATTCGTTTGGTCTTGCTCAAGAGACAAATGCTATCAGTCTGTGCACTCTGTCCTGTTCGCTTCCGCTGGTGCCTTCCGCAAGACTGCTTGCGATCGTACTGTTCACTTCATAAGCGGCTACGCGTGAAGCTTACTATGCCTCATCTTTGCCATGTTTTTCTTATACTGTAAGCAATTGTATGTTCTGCGCGGCTTTCTCATAGAAGGAATAGGGTTACTCCTCAGAGCCAGGATGAAGCGGCCGTGCTTATACAGCGAGACGTACTTCATCGCGAAGTGTGAATCGAGGGCTACTTAGTTGATTAGGGCGGAAAAAAAGGTGAAAAGAACCAACCCTTGGAGACAAATTTTAGACAGCTAGCTAGAACAAAGCGAGACAGCTCCACTGGTACCAGAATTGTGGCTGTAGCATGCCTGAGAGCTAAAAAAAGCCAAATGCGAGCACGGCACGATGACTGGAAACTCTCATCGACCACAGTACAATTCTGTGCAGGAAGACGTGCGAGGGATGCATCAGCGCCAGACACCGGATGGAGCTTTCTTCTCCGACATCAATTCCTAGAACTTTCTTCTCTGCTCTACCTGACTATTCTCTCCATAAAAGTCGTAGACTGGAACATGAGCTCGCTTGTGGCTTTCGTGATCGCAATGATGGGCCCGAAAATCTGTCAGGGAACAAGAAGTAGAGCGCTCCAGATGAAGCGGCGCTGAATTGAGATTCCAAGCAGAAACCTTTCGTTGCGACGATCAAAATCACCAGCTACTCGGGTTAACGTCTCTCCACAGAAAATGAAATTGGGGCGTTTAATGATTGAAGTCTCCTAACTTGACTTTAAAAGGTGGTGTCCACATAGGGAACAATCAGGACAAGGTATATCGGCCTCTGTCCGATTTGCGCACTTTAATTTGTCTGTCCTCGATACTCTGTGAGTAATTTCTTGATCATCAACTCAACTTTGGGTTTGTACACCGATAACACCCAATTGCGAATCCGCAACAACATCACTTGAAGATGAAAGATATCGATGTCACAGGTTTGATCGAGTTTTCTGCTGATCGGCAAGAGATGCTGAAGTGTGCAGGTGGCCTCGTCAGGGTCCGCCTTCTCGGACGAGACGAGAAATGGAGACTCACATACGATTCACTTTGTTCCTGGTAAAATGCGATGAAAGCTTCCCACAATGTTCCGCACGAGGCGAAGGCAAAGACGGGGGGTGATTCTGTGCCATCGTTGTCGGACGAGAGTTGTTGCAGAAGACTCAAAGCCTTGGCAGCACCACCTGCAGACTGATTTTCCGCAAAAAATAGGGAACTCGAGTCCGACTTTGCCTCGTACACAAGAAAGGGAAACGCGATCTCTTCCAGCCCTGTCGAAGGCGCCGCGATAAGCCTGAATGCTGCGTGCGAATTCAGCTGCCCAAGGACAGGCTCGGTCAAGAGCTCGTCCCTGGCGCGTGTCCGCGAAGACATTGTTTGCAGCTCTGCCCTTTCGATCACGCGAAGTCCGACACCAATGTCGGGCTTTGGAATAGAGAGCGGTCTCGAATCTGCTGACATGGGACCGACAGGTGCAGTCCATGCGACATCTTCGCTAATCCATATTAAGGTGCGCAAAGAGTCAGCGCGGCCTTAGTGTCAATTCTCGGAAATCCTCACCTCGAACAAAAGGCGTCGCATTCCGTGATAATACCCATGATTCGGCGATTAAGATGCATCCATGCGCTCTCCACCCTGCCCTGATAAGAATTTGGTTGCATTTCCTTGACCATGATGGCGCAAGATATCGCTTCTCGGAGCTCCGGGACTGATCCTTCTCCCACAGCATCAGCGATATTGGCCATAGTCGGTTCGTACTAGATTGCGTCGGAAGACGTCATTGGTCACGACATAGGACGTACGTGATAACAAGAATTGACCCACCCCAATCAAGGCTGGCGTCAATGGACTTAGATCGCTCAGGCTCCGCTTAAGAATGTCGATATGCAACGGCACCCGTTCTTGTGGAAGGCGATTGACAAAGATAGATGCTTGCTCTAGGAATCGTTTCCTATAGGTTCGGCTGGCAGCCTTAGTATAGCTTGTGCCTTGAGAGTCTGACATGGTGGTACGTAGGTCAAACCGTCTGTTAGAGTCTGTAGAAAAGTCCTTCGATCTCATCTTTGTATCGAGGCTAGGCCGGTTGCCACGTTGCATAAGCGGAAATTCGGACAATTAGGTTGAATTGTCACGTGTCACAAAGTTCTCCGAAGTTCTTCCCCTCAAAAGTTATTCCGCGTACGCTTTTGACACGTGTTTGATCACCTCAGCATACCACTATGCCATCCTCGATCGCTTGATTCTTTTGCCGCTTTAGAAGAGCCATGTAGTAGTCAAAGAGTCTCTAAAGAACGAGAAGAAAAGTCGGAGATATGGAATTGTATTCCTAAGAATGATTTTGTTGCTGTCATGCCGGGTACCGGGTCATAAATGGGCGTTTTTTTTTTTTTTGGCTCCGCGGACGCTCATTTTGGAAGGTGCAGCCCATCTATCCTGCATCTTTGAACCGTCAGCACTCTCTCTATCCACAAATACTGACATCCAAATACTGTTAGGTACTTGGAAACATCACTCAAAAAGATTCCAAGGTGTAAGAAGCAGCAGAAAAGCTGGTTGATGGAGTAATAACGGCTTTGAAGCAGCGAAGTAGTACGGTGTCTGCCAGCAAACAGTGCTCCAACGTCTTCAAGGCATTTCATCGGCGCCTGTGGCAATAAAGGAGAGGAGAGAGCTCTCTGACTGGGAGGAGCGCATAATCTGTAGGTGGATCATTCGACCGGACACCTTGGGATGGAATCCAACAAAGAAAGTTCTTGAAGGGCGGGCCAGCATACTTGCAAAATCGTCTATTGTCCCAGGATGGTATAATTGCTTCCTGGAGCGACACAGAGAGCTCAGCTATCGCCAAATCAAGGCTCAGACTGAGGCTAGGATGTGGGCGTCTACACTGCCAAAGGTTGAAGGATATTGTGAACGATTGAGTCGACTTATTGCTTCGTGAATCTCAAGGTCATGCTGAAAAGGTTGCGTTCATTCCTTAAGCTGCAGCAGGTTGTCACAAAGCATAACGCGACAGCTGCAAACATCTTTGAAGTAGACGAAGACCTCTCAAGTATCAATTCAAGCTCACCAGGACAGAGAAAGCCGCATTCTGGCTACAGGAAGCCGCTACGAACTTCCGCCACACAGAGGTGAAGTCGCAGATACTTCAAAAGACAGTGTCACCGAGACAATCTGTGCTGACGGCTCTCTCCTTCCGCTATCGTTTGTAGTTAACGGCACTGATCGTCAGATGGATATACTCCAGCATGCCAGCACAGTCGGTAACTTAGTTTATCAAGTGGAATCAGCATGGCTCGAATAACACAGTGGTCATGCTACGCTGGCTCGACGGTTTCTATAGGGCTACAGAGAACAATGAGAGCCCTTTTTGATGGCGCCTGATGCATTCGGGCAATTTCGCTTTCCATTCGCTTCAGCAGTGCTGCATAAGGCTGAGGAGATGAGTCCCGAGTTCTTCACGTATGCAGGCACTCTGTCTGTGGGTGCAAGGTGCATTCGAGAGATTTTTGCAGGATTTAAAGGCCAGATACCTGACTTTTCGAACAATTTACGCACAATGATGTCCCTAGGGCTTTCTTTCCGGGCCTCTTTGAGCAAGCCAAGGAATCTGAGCTTGTTGATGGGGATGTCACGCTCATTGAGATCTTCTTTGAGCCTATCAAACTCGCTATTGTAGGTCTTGAAGGCGACGACATCGTGGGGCTGCATTTCATGCGAGGCGTTTCAGTGATATGTGGCGATCTCGATCTGCATCTCTTCGGCCTTCACAAGCACCCCGTCGACAAGGTGGCATGACACGTTGTCCAGGAGACGCAGCCGCCATCTTATAGGGCTCTTCTTGTCCTTTGCAGCCTTGTAAAAACTGTCAATCCAACGCAGCATGACATTGCCATTGTTTGAACCGCGTGGATTTCTCACAACGTCCAGTTTCCAAGCTCTTTAGTGCGCTGTACGACATCCATCTGCCTGTTGATGCCATTGAAGACAACTGTTGGTGGGAGCAAAGAGCCATCAGCGCAGATAGTCTCAAAGATGCTGGCCTTTGAAGAGTCTACTGTTACGCATCTCCTACGGCGACTTTGATTCCCGATTCACGTCGTCCACCTTGAGAACGCCCCTTGAGAGATACAGACGTCATCGGCGTGCTCAGTCTTCGGTCGCAAAGTTTGGTCGCTAAATTTGCGCAATCGCGAGTTGCAAATTACTTAATCTACTCTGATTTGTCATTCGTCTCATCTCAGCGCTCAATGCGTAATCCAAAATCGTCAATGGGATCTCTCTTGTGCGTTCAACGTGATAAGCAAAGGTCCTGAGACCCTTGCCTCGGCATTCCGCCATCTTGGTCTGGCCATGGACTCATTAAATACTGTGGAAGTGTGCGTTGAAGGTGGCTCGGGAAGCTGTCTGCTGCGTCAGCCATCGCGCGATGAATTCAAGGACAGGAGTCTGTGCATCTCCTTTTCCAAGCGACCGAAGGAGAGGAGGAGAGAGTGCTAGTGAAGCAGCGCGTACAGCAAATGGACAATACAAGAGGAAAGAGAGCGGCGAGGGCGGGGACGTGACGGCTCAGAGACCCTTCTCATATTTTACAGGCCGGCCAATGTGCCATTCTTCCTTATAAACGAAGAAGCCAGATGTTCTCGTTGTCAATGCAATCACCCATCACTAATTCCTCCAAGCCACTTGAGCCTCCAACAATTTGGGTCAAACCGAGCAGATGTGCCGCGACATCGCCTTTACACGGGATTCGAGGTATTCGTCCTACTCCTCAGGGGTTCGCTTCGGAATAGGTTGCTAAGAGAGCCTTGAAGCTTATCCTGCACTTCAAAAGAATGTCGCTGTAGCTTTTGGAGAAGTAGGAGTCCTGCAGTCTGATTCTGACTTCCATCTAAGTACCTCTGATTTCTGGAGGTACGTTTACTGGTACCGCTTTAGAGATGCTTACATACGTCTATGTCTTGCTCAAGTCGCTTTCTTGCTCCGTAGCATAAAGCTCTACAAGTCGGTTTCACCCGAAGAAGATAGCGAGGGAAGAAGTCTTTTCACAACCAAATTGATGTTGACGAGGTTCATACACAATTGTCAGAGCTTTTGGCATGTTGCAAGTGTAAGATAGTCGCAAGAGAAGGGACCCTTCGTACTTTTTGTGTTCCTTGCTTCGCTTCGCATGTCTCTCCATGTTTCGCTACATATTGAAGTGATCTTGCGAATCCTCAAATTTGACTCTCGAAAACCCGCTTTTCTAAGATTGTTCGCACAAGTTCAGATCCTGCTTCGAAACAAAGCATAAAATAATCACAGCACTGTAGAATATTGCCTAGTAATGTGGTGACAAGCGCCTGTTCTAATCTCGAAAAACCTTAGTGGCTCACCTGTGGTTCATCTTCAACATAACTCCAGCTGAGATATCGTGGTCGCTCTTGCGGCGAAAGTGAAAATCGATTTCAGAATTTCAGGCGTCATATCTTATCCCACCGAGCTTAAAGATGCAATCATTATCGTCCAGAACTTCAAACTTCAAGGACATGTGCATCGGCCGGCTCCATGGTAAAGTCGAAACGCATGATGAATCGTGCGAGAACGAGCCTCATTTCCATTTAATCACCATTTGATTATTGATCTGGCGAAGTCGGACGTGACGCGCTCACCATCCTGAGTCAGAAGACACATAAGTTGAGCCTGGTATTGCCTGACGACTGCTCTCGAGCATATCTACTTTGCTTGGCAGTGGAACACAATTCTCGTGGTGACGGCTGCGGTAGCAATCTTGACGAGAAAAAAGAAAAGAAAAGAAAAAGAAAGCAACATCAATACCAACACCAACACAATCGAGTCGCTAGCGAATACAATTTCGATAGCGCGGGACACTCCTTGGGAGCAAGCAACGGCTCCATACAGTAGCAAAGCTGAGGTTGTGCTTGGGTCGAAGTCCGCCGGCAATACGGGAAACGAAGGAGTGAGCGTCTTCTTACAAAAGGGCCATTTAGTGAATGATGTGATCACCAATAGCGAGTCGTCCAGAATACCAATTAATTTCTTTAATGGTCGAAGGATGCCCTTGTGATGACGCTGAGCGTGACTTGAGGGGGTTCGACTACACCCTCAGGAGCTTCTTGCAAAGCCAGTTCAAGAAAGCGCAGGATAATAGGTAAGAGCTCGAAAAGCAATCAGCATATCTCACGGTCTAAGGGAAGCCTACGATTATGTAAGCCGGCTTATGTGGATGTTCCCGACTAGGCTTTCTCTTGCAATCAATGGTCTTTATCTCTTGAAGAACGGAAGTAGGAGATCTCGATATGCTTCTTCTGTTCCTGATCGAGCAAGTCGGCGACGGAGGCAAGCTTTCATATGAGATAGCCAAATCGATCTTTTGTCATTCTTTACAGAGGTCAGCGTCAGAAGATGCGTCCGTATTATCGTTGACCTGCTTGTCCTTTGTCTCGTCACCAGCGAATTGTCGAGTTTCCCATCATCTCAGCTCATGCGGGGTGAACGGGAGCATCCAACGATGCGATTGTTCCATTTCTCGCCATGCCATCTCGTCAATTCTCGTAGCCACAGCTTCTCTGATCGTCTTGCTCATCGTTGCGGAATGAAGAGCGTTACGCACATCGACGCGATCGACGATCTGCTGAAGCAGATCTATAAACAGTTGCTCAAAGATGATCCGACTCGAATTAAGATGATCCGGCTTGAATATCCCGACCATGAAGAGCAGAAAAAGAAGTAACTGCGCCGAGGATACTCTAGGAGCTGGACCTTGCAAAAAAATAATTCAAAATTTTAATTTCATTAACGTGGCGCTAATCTTCCCGTCTAATCTGTAAGGAGGCTGCCAAGCCCACGCTTCCGAGATGGCAGGTATCTCGTACCGAACCACGCCCCGCCTTACAATAGAGCGTTGCACGGATGCAGACATTCTTTCTTTGAGCTTTTCCTTCTTTCGTGCAATGCTCCCAATGGGCTGCAGAATCAGGCCGAGGAGCCCCGCTTCAACAGCGACGCCACAGTCTACATTCGGCCCTGCTCTTGACGATAAGGGCACGTGCGAATCGCTCTCCGAAGAAGAAGCATTGCATGTGGACACGAAGCTGCAATGTCAGACTAAATCACCACCTGCGAAATCATTGCTGTGTTTGGTCTCTGCTCGCCTGAGCACCGACACTTGAACTTCACTTTCGGAGCAGTGCTTTGTCGAAGTCATTATTGAGTAGGCCTTGTCGTAATGAGACTATCTGATCGGTCGTCCTCACTTATCGCTCACCCGAGCATCGCTAGCTGCCATCAGAGAGCCGATGATAGTATAGCGATCAAAGACGCTCTCGACGGGAACGCCTTTCCAAACAAGCTCGTATGGTCCGATTTGGTACTTCTCGTGGGGATCTTGAAGCGCTTCGCAGATGGTTTGATGAGCCTCATCGGTGTCGCGCAGCGAGCGCACCACCCGCTTCGTCGCATTGAATCGGGTGCCTGCCTTAGTGCGGCCCTGGTCTTCACACCACCTGACGCGCATTTGCCCCTTGCCCTCTATTCGGCAGCGTACATGTAGCAAAGTACGTTCCTCATCGGGCAGATGTCTAACAAAGAAATTCGCCAATTCGTGGTAGGTCTCAAATGACTTTGTTGGTATCGTACTGTTGTCTTTGCGGTGCACCAAGCGATCGAATAGATGTTTAATACTGAACATAATAATTGCCTTGCGTTGGTCGTGGAGGATACAAGGCAGAATCGAATCTGAACTCGTAACAGAAAAAAGGGCGGCGTAAGGTGGGTACGTTCCCAAAGTCACGTGAAGAATGGGCTTTGTGTCGTACTTGCTTTTCATCTGTGAACAGTACCGTCGCGTGGGATCCCGCGCACGCTCCTAATTGAAAAAGTGTCCCGCGCATGCTTTTATTTCAACGCCTGCTGCGGCTTCCAAGAAGAGCATCTTTGCATTGTCGAGCTCTTGCTGCAAACGTCCACTCAGCTCTTGCTCATCCACTCATCTCTTGCTCAAAGATTTCTGTACGTCTTAGCCAGCATCGGCGCAATCGGCAATGACGCGACTCATCTCTCGCTCAGCCAGATTTTTGGTACCCTCATCGATCTCAGCGATGACCCCAGACATTTCTCGACCCAGGGTATCGTACGTGCAGCACACGCATTAATTTACCTTGCATGACAAGATCATTTAGTGTATATTAATGTTATCATGACTCCACGTCGTCCTATACCGATTATATGTCATCTATTTACACGTCTGCAAATTTGGCTTCTAGGGCTACTGAGTCTCGCTGAGAGCGAGAAATGAAGTTTTTGACCATATACATCCTTCAAGAGGGCTTGTACAAAGCAACATTGAGTTTGAAAGTTGTGTGTACGTGTGAAGGTCTTCGTGAGTGGAAGCAGCGGTCTCTCGGCGGCAGGGTACAAGCTCAGATGTGATGGGATCACTTTCTCGTTTAATGCGCTTTGTCACCCACTTCTCACGATCCGATCCTTGTTGGATTGGAGACTGTCACGCGCCGAATGAACCGATTCATGCAAAACCTGGAGGAGCTGGTGGCAAGCAAGCAGGAATCGGCACCAAGTTCTAAATGCTCGACGTGGAGGACAGAAGGCAATCGAAAATGTGTGCGAGATAACCCCGATATAATTTGAGATGTCTGAAATTCACCTAACAAGCGGCTTTGAGCAAAGATCATGGCCAGATAGAACCAACTAGATCGGAGCAAAGCTGCAATTTTCGCGGGAGTCAGATGAACTTGTCCTGTTGACGCTGTTCCAGGAGTCACAAAAACTTATGAGTTACAAAGACAGCACGAATTGGCCTTCATCGAAGAGGCTGCCCACGAGAGACGGCATGAGTGGGCCTTCATCCCGAGCAGGCTGCCCGCGAGAGAGGTGCTACCGCGAAAGTTGACCTCGGAGAGCTAGGTGGCCTCGTCACCTCGTACTTGGCAGACCAGAAAAGCCAATATCCATCTTTGACGACACCGTCGACCTTAGCCGGATGATTGCGAGCCTTTTATCAAAATCTGACAAGACCATGGAGGCTACTAAAATTTTGTAGGCTGGCTTGCTGGGAATATCCAGCGTATGAAAAGCTCAAAAGCTGCTTATTCAAGTCGTCCAAAGCAGGTACGTAGCCGATAGAAGTAACAATAGTGAAATACAACCACGGTATCAATTTGTGCGATGCTTGTCTTGATAAGTCAACTTCAATGGAGATGATTCAGCGGTGATTGTCTTCCGAGCAATCAATTCCGAGTTCACATAAGCGTTGGCCGAGATGTGATGAGAGACATAAGGCCGAAGCCCGGTGGAAAACTCAGCGACGAGCGTTCCGTTCCAGTGCCGATTCTCGAGCGAGGTCCATGCGGATATAGATGATGACACGGTCAGTAGGACGCGCTGTCAACAAAAGTAAGCGGGAGCCCATTCTTGAGTAGCCGCGACACACGCGCGCTCCAGCGACGATATTTTATGCGCTCTTCCTAAACCAGACCTTGAGCTTGGCCGACGTACGTCGAGCAGACGCGAGAGAAAAAGGAGCGCTGTCTCGCCCCTATTGAAGCCGTGCAAGCCCCGAAAGACGGCTGTGAGAGAGCCGCATGTCTGATTAAGCCCAAGAACGGACAAAGTTGAGCAGTGCGATCACAGCGCAGCATTTGTAATGGTTTGTAGTCAAAATTTTTACGAGTCGTAATTGCATTGAGCAATTATTCTACTCCTCTACAAATATCCTGGATAACGATTCGCTCCGATCAATGTATGAGGGAAAAGCTTGGGTTTCATCGATCACGAAGCACAATTCAATCACTCGGATATTTCATGTCAAAGCTCTTGTGCTCTGCTCTGAATCGGTGGCATAGTCTCGCTAAGGTTTTGGGTCGTGGAGAGATTCAACGCTTGAAACCAGGTGACATTCTTCGGTCAACATGTGATCCTCCGTGCTTTTGAGCACTCGCGCAGAATTGGCTTCGACGATCTCGAAGGAACTCTCAGAAACCGCCCGCTTCCACATTCCCTCATATTGCCACACATTCGTCGATTTCGAGTTGATCAAGCTTCTCGCTGAGCTGAATGTCGGTCTGAAATCATGCGCATCAGGCCAAGGTCTCGACCTCAGCAATGTTGTTGCACACGCGCAAGCAAAAGATCAAGGCATTGTTGATCGCCGCAGTCTCTTTTGGTTCCTAGAAGGCAGCATCGACGCAACCTGAAAGAGCTGACCCTGTAGAACTGTCTCTAATCCCATTTCAAATCATAGAAAGCTCCATTCTGTCAGGAACGGAGCGAGACGTTTGGTGAAAGTGCGGTGAAAGCGATATAAATCTCGACCGGAGCTGAGCGTAAGAATCTTGACCGCAAAGGAAGTCAGCGAAGTGCGCGGAAGAGACGTACAAATGGGATGACCATGTATGCTGTCGTTCGCGTTTTCGAAGGTGCAAACGATCATCAACGTGTTCGGCTGTGCTCAACACCTTCGATCGTGTGTAAGTCAGAGGTGCTGCAAGACGTCGAAACACCATCGATTGACCAAGTATCTCTGACCATGGATGGGCTGCGACGTCTCTTGTGAAGCTAATTCTTTCCGCGAACTTTGCGGGGAATGATGCCAATGATCAGTCTTGCTGGAGTTGAGAATGTCGTTTATCCTGCGCAGTCTGTCATGATCTAGATAACAAATGAGAGTTCGATATATTGCGTGGAGAAACCTCGGGATCGCCAAGGAGCTTCATGCTCGCATCATGAAGTTCGCCTACTGCGCTTAGACGACCTTCCGCAGGCCTTCAAGCATGGCTACAACACTAGGTCGAAATCGCTCTTCGACCCAAGACGAGGCCCTCTTTGAGAGCAAGAGCAGTAAGAAAAGGTTCCAATAATCGGTAATGTCGCCTTTCCAGATTGTGACTAAATGCTGTATCGGAGAAGGAGCAAAATGAGTTGTGGACATCGGTTCCTAGACCTTGCAGATTAATCACGATATTTTGTGCGATTGATGCATCTGAGATGTCACTTTGAAAGGCGATCAGAGTTTCGAAGGTTGGGCCCTCTGAGCATATCGCCAAGACCGAAAGAGGAGAAAAACGTTGTCCATTCGTGTTAAAGTAGACTTCCTCCAGGCGTTCGATCATCTTCAGACAGGTAGCAGTCTCTCCTGCAGCTTGATTCTCGGCATAGAGAAGAGGCTGGGAGTCGGACTTGGCTTCGAGGATGATACAGGGAAAAGCAAGTTCTTGAATGCCAGGCGAGGGCCAAGGAGGAATCGCGTGGCGAAGCGAAAGTGCATTCAGATAGCTTCTCGACAGTACTGCGGCCTCTGAATGCCGCTCCCGCAGATATTGCTGGGAAGATTGCTGCGTTCGAAGCCCGAAGCCCATGTCAGGCTTTGGCGCCGCCAAAGGTTCGGCCTCGGCGGACAGTAGACCCACTGGCTGAGTCCAAGTGACGTCTTCCCTGCACACGAGTGTTCAGGGATGAAGAAAGTGGTGATCAGGACTGCATGCGACGCCACGAGACATGCGTGCTCGGCGACAATCTTTCAGGCGCTTTAGCTGAACTCACGTGTATTGCAAAGCGCCGTTCGTCCGCAGGTCGCTGACCAGTTCGCGAATCATCTCCATCCACCTGAACTCAACCTGACCAATCAAGCTCTGCGGGCGTTCTAGCATTTCCTTCGCTTTCTGAAGAGCAATGATTGCATCCCTTGCGGGCGTAGTGGCCTCATCGACGAAAGCCCTCTCAGGTATTCTGTCCATCTCCTCCGATCCAACAAGAGCTACAGCCTTTTGACCAAATTAAAAATTAAGAGGGGATATCGTCAATCGCAGTCAGAGAGTGAGGACTCACGTCGGACCTTGAGATGATGCCTTTAAACGTTTCCAACGTCAGAAATGCCTCCATTTCTCGCACATGAGGGGGCCACTAATTTCACTTGACGCGATTGATGTATATCCCTGCACCTTCCAGATTCTGTGTGCGGTACGTACGACTGGCAGCTTTGCTTACCGTACTCGCCCAAGTCAATGACTGTGGCATCAGTCTTCCATTTGCGAGCGGAAAATGGTATCAAATCACAGGACCATGCTGATGATCTCCTTGTCCGCGTCTTCTTCGCCTCCCCAGAATGCTTCATCTGCAAACTAGATTCATGCTTGAAAGAACGGCGAAGGTATCCCACATTTAAAGCACTCTATCGCATTTGTTTGCAGCTATTTCTGTTGGACAAATGGGAAAATGACACGTCCATTGACTTGGGCGAGTACGATTTCAACTTTTGATCTCGTCTCTCTCCATGCCATCGATAAGAAGCCAGATTTCTGAACAAGGCTCGAGATCTGGTAATTGGGCTTCTGCGGAACTTAGGATTGGCCCGGCTTGAGATCTGCAGCGGGAGAGATAGTCGTGTACGACGGAGAGAAAAGACCCCTTGGTTTGTCCTTCAACTCTGACCTCTTCGAGCGCAAGCCGCTCTTCCTATGCAATCGGGTCTTGCGGACAAGGAAGATCGGAGCTACTGATACGACGTACGTCGAATAATGCAGACAGAATGGCAAATGACCCTGAGCGTTCTGCTCCTCCGTCCATTTCTTTCCCGCGGCGAGGTGACCTGTTGCTTCTCCCTCACTTTCCTTCCGGCTGCGAGGCGACGGAGTAATGCAAGGAAGCAGGTGTCGTCCTTCTGCATCGTCAAAGGGAAAGAAATCAAAAGTAGCAATTCTCCTTGGCTTGAATGAAAGGCCATTGGTGAGCAGCTAAGACAATGCTCGATCGGCCTGCAACTAGCACGAGCTTCTCTAGGTCGACAGCTAGAATTATTGTGTGAACCCATCTCATGCATAAATTGAAAGAGGGAACAGGCGGCTGCTAGCGACAAGAAACCGTCAAATTTTTCGAACGGGAAATCCTTGAAATCCTCGACACCAAATCCTCCTGGACATAAAATCTGCGCACACTTGCAAAGCAAGAAGCGGCTTTTGCGCGCCAAAAAAGCACCGAATTGCTGGTGCATTCGACTGACGAGGTTGCTGCTGACACCGTTTCGATCTATGCTGAGAATAAAATGCTCTCTGACCTGACTATTCAAAATTATTACATTTCCGTACCTTTCGAGGACACGAAGCATTGTTCTAGACACACGGTTACTTCGCGAACGATACTGCTGCTGAGTGAACGCGTCGAAGCTGTACCTGTATGAGACCGTTGCTGCTGATGTTGTTGTTGTTGCTGCTGCTGACGCTGCTGCTGACGCTGCTGCTGATGCTGCTGCTGCTGCTGCTGATGCTGATGCTGATGCTGATGCTGTTGCTCTGGTTGATGGTAGTGCTGATACGTTTGCAGTGTCTGAGTGTCCGCCGGAAGGTGCGTCTGCGTCTGCCGCGGGGTGGGCAACGTGTAAAGTGATTCCGTTGTCTGTTGTTGCTGCTGCTGCTGTTGCTGCTGCTGCTGCTGCTGTTGATGTTGATGTTGTTGTTGTTGTTGCTGTTCCCATTGGAGGGGCGCTGTGTACCCTGCCACGGTACGCTGCTGACCCCGTCGACCATGCTGCACGCCTGAGGAGGTCCCACTCTCGTGTTGCTCTTGAAAGGAAGAAAGTTGGCCCTCTGGCTCTTGCTGATCAGTGATGAAACGGCTAGTACTGCTCTGATGATGATACATGTCGTCGTCGTCCGAGTGTGCATCATCGGTGTCGCTTCTGCTGCCGTTACTGCCCACGTCGCCAGCACTTCTGCCTCTTTCCTCTGCATAAACCTCCGTTGGGTTGGACCAAGTCCGTGGAGTCTGGCCAGACATGAAGCCAGCAAGGTCTTCCAGACAGAGTGAACCTAAGACTAAGGCTCTCGCTCAAGCTTCTGTCCCTTGCTCGGTCTACGTGCCTTCTCTCTCGTGTATGTAGAGCAGGCTCGTCGCCGGCAAGGACTGACCATATGAGCGAGGATGACGGTGTGATGTCCTGTCTGTCGAGAGGAAGGTCGATCACAGCTTTCAACCTTCTCAACCGAAAGCGATAGTCTCAAGAAGGAGTGCGATAAGGCGAGATCGAAGGAGAAAGAGAGGGAGGGAGGAGAAAAGTGGGTAGGAAGTGCTTGGAGAGAAGCAAAATAGAGCGCCACAGCACAGTCTGAGCTTCCCCCCAAGCTCATCAAGATACTATGAGGATACCAGAAATGCTTGGCGCATCACCTTGCCCTGACTTTCTCTACGCACCTGGAGGTTCTACTTTATTGACCTCCCCCTTCCTCGCTCGATGCCGCAGCTCTTTCTCTCGTTAGGGGAAAGCAACGACGCAAACTGTCGATGAGTGTACGACTAGCCTAGCTGAGTGAGGCTGTATGGTGGCTTCAAGAGGCTATTTAAATGGAAAAGCCCTTTCCAAGGTGAATAATTGGTGAATGCTGTCGCCTGGTTGGCAATTCGGATGGTGAGAGTGCGGTGAGGGTTTGGAGCCGTGAAGATCGGTGCGCGGTGGCTCTTAAAGCGATGACCTCTTTTTCTTTTTTCGGGCCTTGGCTTTTTCTCGACTACCAACCAAAGTAGCACCTGCAATCACCTTGTGGCCAGTCTTCGTCAAAGATGCCTGGCAAGTAGCCTCGTATAAGATTCTTGTCACCGCAGCTGTCTGCTGTGGTGAAGGACAAGGATGGATGAGTCGAAGGTTAGTGGACAGAGTGCCGAGAGGAATATGCAGGAGTCATCCACAGGCTAACGTTCTGGCGAGAGGTGGTCGTTTTCGGGAAAAGGGAGAGGAAGTGTGTCTGCGGCTTCTTGAGTATAACTTTGGGAAAGAAGAATGGGAGAAACGAAGGGGGAGGAAAAGTATTTCTAGGATCGATGCACCTCCCCAAATCAGCAATCAGCATCATTTGCGCCAGCTTCCGAACCAGGCGACTAAGCCTTTTCGCCATCTTATTTTCAGACATGTTGCCACCTCCTCTTCTACCCTACCACGCTGTTCACAAGCTCCACTCTTGTCTAGATGTTGCGTACTTTTGACAACAGACGGTACAGACAACATGCTGTCTTCTAGCGTCTTGGTACGTAGGATGAGTAATGTAGAGGTGGATTGCCCGTTCTGCAGAGATCGGTGAAGGTTGCGTGACGAGACTGGGCATAGTGGGACATTACAATGGTTTTTTAATTCCTGCGTGGATGGGTTTGCCCGTTTTCCTCTGCGATCAGCATGTACGTCTCATTTTTGTCACAAACATCCAATCCGTGTTCTCTGGAGCCAGGAACAATTCTCGGACTCAAGGTGCAGAAGATTGCGACGTAGTCTGCGAAGTTCGTCTCTCCGTTGGTCTTTCTTTTGTTCGTTCTGCTCTCGCTCTCCTCAGAGGGAAGGTGTGGGGCACAAAGTCGGTCAGAAAACCGCCTTGTGCGAGAAGGATATGCTTTGCCACCGTGCTTCGAGGAAATGTGTGACATTCTCCTACACGGTCACGGCATCTCCCGGTGAAAGTGAACTCATCTATCGGTGTTTACTAAAGGGCTTTCATGTGACCGTAGCTCTTAAACGACAAAGCTTTGAAAATGAGGCCCAACTGTCTAGGTAGCGACTCGGCAGTTCCATTGGCTGAAGGACACGTCCCAAGTATTGCGGATCTGGTTGTCTATTGCTCCGCCCATGCGTTGGTAGCTTCTACAAAGGCCCCATCTGGATGAATACCGAATATTTGTTCTGGAATTCATTTCCTATCTTGCAAATATACATTTACACTTGAGGACAGCCCAAGCGTAGATTCCCTTTGAGCGAATTAGGCTACCGAAAGCAAAGTCGGCTAGGTGAGTTCTGCTCGGATGATCGTCATAGCTTTACATCGGCACCAAGCGCACGTCAATTCAACAGTCCTTTTTTTTTCTCATCGGCAGGGTCCTGCCGGTCCTCTGCTTGCTGGAATCTTCATTCTAGGGGCTGATAAGTCGGCCGTCAATGGGCAGACGTTGGGCGTCTCGATTACGGCTTGCGGAGCCAAAATTAGGCACGGGCCCACTTGTAAGGTTGCATAGCATGCGAAAGGGTCCAAAAGGCAGCTCGGCCTCTTAATGGTCCGGTCGGTGGCAAATTATCAAGAAAGTGTACTATGGGGCAGGAGGAAATATTGAGTTTGCTGCGCTAGGTGATCGGGTCGCAAGGCGGAGAAGGTTCAACACAAGTACGCATGTACCCTGGAGGCTAACTTCAGGTGCACATAAATTACTCGATACTATCGATCAACTGACCCTCTTGACCCCGTTATATAAATTAAGCCTTCTGCTATGTTGTAGAGCCATGTGGCGCTGTTCGCATATAACTTCAACACAAAGTTACCCGAAAAACTAATGCAACAGGTGACGTGCTCAAGCCTAGATTTCTGAGAACACGTGATTCAAGTGTTCCCGAGAGATAGGCTCGCCATTCATGTGTTTGCCCGCGTTCTGTCCGTAATGAGGGGTATTCGCCATGGTTGCCCGCACGTTTGCCCGTTATGACGCGAATTCGTCATGATTGCCCGCATGGTCGGGCTACAAAGTGGGCACCGTGCGATGCTCTGTACACGACATGAAGGGTCACGGGTACCGCGCCGCAAGTTCTTCCTCAGTTCTAAGGTGCTCACTAATTCATCCTTGGTGTTCCTTGAAGCTCGGCAGGGATCATTGAGGTCAACGCTACCTCCAGCTGAGACCCTTAAAGCACCCTTCCCTCTCTCATAATGGAGTTTCCTCAAGGACGACAAACTGATCTTTTCGGTCAGTGGTATGGAGGTCAGTGGTATGGAGAAAACAGTTTACTTCAGAACAAGGATTTCCAGTTCTTCTGTCACCACCTCAATTGGTCAATACGTTGCAGACGCAACCTAGCCTTACAAGGAAGAGCTCTTACAAAGACACGACTGCATCACCCAGGAACCAAGCAAACGCAGCCAAGCCAGGCGGGTTTTGCACATTCGTGGATCAGTCCTTGACAGATTCTTATCATCGACTGGACTCTCAATCAAACAGTCAGTCAAGAGGTTTGTTATCTCGACTTTACCGTGCAAGCACAACTCTTGCTCCAAGTGCACTAGCATACGGCCACCAGCTAGGCCGCACTCGTTGCCACCTGGGGCCGTATTTCGGTCACCCTTGCTTCGAATGCCCTTGTTTCGGTCACCCATAGTTCTGTCACCAGTGCTCTGTGTTGCCACAAGTCGCAGCATCGACGCTGCAGCAGAAGCGCAACGGAATGAGCGCGTCTCGACACCACACCAGTCCCTCGACCGCTCGTTCGTATGACACCGCAAACATTTCGCCGAGCGAGCTTCTCTTCTCGCAGGCATACACCTCCCTTCCTGCCCCGTTTGCGATGTCTGCGAGCCCGTCGAGTACGGATCAACAAAGGTCTGGGGAGTGGAGCAGCTCCGAAGTTGCCCAGATCCTATTGACGGAGCAGCTTCCTCAGTTTCTGCCGACGGTAAAGTCGAGTGAACAAGGGCAGCATCATTTCCAAGCTTCAGATGAGCCCGCGCGAGACTTCAGTTGGACCCCGATCTCACACCCCTCATCTAGCCCTTTGAGCTCATGGCCATCGCAATCATCACTAGACCTCCAATTTTCTCCCTCAAATTCAAGAGCGCTTCGTAATGCCTCGCAAAACCACGACAGGCCTTCCACCCCTTTCGAGCAGCATCAAGTGCACCAGAAAACCCTGCAGTTCAGTCAAAACGACGAGTTCCAGTGGGGAGAGGACAAGTCGTGGGAGCAACAGCTTGCGACGAGTCTTTTTGGCGACTTTCTATCTCCACCAATCAGTGAAGTGACACCTTCCTCTTCCTCCCTACCGGCTGCTGCACTTTATGCCAACGTCAATGTCAACGCCAACACAATCTACTCGACGCCTCTTGTGTCGCCAGAGGATCGGCAGCTGACGCAAGCTGGGGCGTACGCTCTCTTTCCGGCCTTTCCCGGACCACCCTCTCCACAGAACCCATCTCCATCCGAGATCTACAACTCTACGGACCGCTCCCTCCAATCTGGAGCGGGCTCGTCTATTGAACCGCTCTCAGTGGCTGCAATCCCTGTCGACCTACCAAAGAGGGTGTCAGCTGCCTGTCGTTTCTGCAAGGCTCGCAAGCTTCGTTGCGACGGATGCCATCCGTGTCGGCAGTGTCAGAGGAGGTGTGTCGCATGCTTCTATCAGCCCGAAGCGCAAGTCAGACCAAGCCGGCGAATGACCGACCCTTCATTTGAAGCTTTCCGATCCACAACGGCACCTACACTCAGTGAAGGCCAGGGGTCGAATAAGCATACCAATCAAAGGAAGAGGAGCTATACCTCAGTCGCCGAAGCTAGCCTTGGGTTTCACACCCCTTACATACCGGCTTCTACCTCGGGCCGTTCAAGGTCTTCATGCGACTTCACGTCCCACTCAGCAGATGACAGCATCGCAGCCTCCTCCGTCTCGGTCATCGCTGGCGATAGCGCAGATGCATATCGTCAGGAGAGCAGCAGCAACAGCAGCTTCAAGACCTTTAAAAGGGAGGATCGAACATCATCAGGCTTAAGCAGTGCGATCGAGAGCAACAACAAGCAAGCTTTCCCTATCCATGGTAATTATAGAAACAGCGGCAAAGGCGGCAAGAAGAGCATCTTCAGCACCATCAGCATCAGGAGTCGACCGGTCGGAAACCGGAACTTTTCCGAGATGAGTGCTGCTCAAGAGGTCCGGTATATCTGCCCTTTTCCGGGGTGTGATAGCCATTTTTCGACGAGCGGGCATGCCAGACGACACAGCCGCGTTCATCTGTTACTGGAGCCTTTTGAATGTCCACACAAAGGTTGCGCGCGACGGGACAATTGCACACAGCATCAGCGAGCCCGACACGCTCTTCAGATGGTCGCCTACCGTCAAAAAGTAGAGCGCTCCGAGTCGAAGGACGAGCACTGAGGTCTGTCAAATCCCAATGCTGCTGATGTTACTATTGTATTGACGTGCATATCGTTGAAAGACCGTACAGTACAATCAAAAGAGGAAACATTTTGTCTTAATCCTACAGAAAATGATTGCATTGGATCGGCACACACTTGAGCTAGCTGCTTTGCGAGCAGCTGTATAACGCCATGTTTCCTTTTTGATGGACTGACGGCTAGAACCAATGATGTTACACGTCCTCTCGAAAGTGATTTCTCTTTGTAGAGTGGCTGAGGACGAGCAAGAAGAAGGAATTTTAGAGTACTACTCCCACCCCGAAATTCGAAGATTTATGCTGTTGACGTGCATTCACTTCACCTCCATAGGTGAGGTAACTAACTGAGAAGTATAAAGCTTCAAAAGATGAGAGGAGGTACAAGATGTATAAGAAGGTCAACGATGACAATCTGGAGCTTTATTTGACAAGTTTCAACGCAAAAGCGAGGTCTCGGACGTTTAAGAAGAGGCCTGGCGTTTGGTCCAAGCATCGAGTTCGCGCTCAGGCAAGTGTTAAAAAGTAAAAAGCGCAAACAACAACGGGTGATGAACTATTGCCTGGTCATCAGCTTCGAAGCTTCTCGGCAAGTCACAGAGAGTTGCAAGAGCATGCGAGAAGGCTTTGCCTTGCTTGTTCAAGAGCATGCGAGAAGGCTTTCCCTTGCTTGTTCAATGTCTTGTTGCATCGAAAAGTTCTTTTTCCTTCTTTTTCTCAATGTCATCTTTCTCCATACAATTTCATTTTCCTCCTTAATCTCACACCGAGCAATGAGAGTAGAATTTTAGTTCCCAGACGGAAATAGGGAGGTAAATGTGAAGGACAATTGTTTTAAATAGAGGGGCTTAAAGCATGCAGAGAAGGATGGGAGGTGAAAGGAAGCATTTCAGACCAAAATTCTTCGTCCATAAAGCCGTCCTCTGGTAGATTTAGCATACCAGAACGGCATGCAACAATATCATCCGAGTATGAAGTTGTTTGTCCCACGAACGTCTGGTCTTCTGGAGACTGAGCGTTCGCTTCAGGACTAGAGACGTTTTTAGCCAGAGGTAACACTCCGACGTCAGTCGAGAGACTGTTGGCATGTTGCAGCTGCTCTGTGACGACGCTTACTTGTGAGGGTGGATTGAGCAATGACTGCAGCAAGTTCGCATAAAGCGCCGCGTTGGTGATGTTGACCATAGCAGTACTCTTCAACGTATCCGCAACTTCCTGGACGAGTGCAAGAGCGCCCTCTTTGTCATGGTGCTCTGCCAATTTCGCCTGATTGCAAGCGAGCTTGAAGAGAAATGGGCTAGCGTACGTGACCATGATGAGTTGCGCGTCGGGTACCCATGGCAAAGAAGCGCGCATGCCCCCCGTGGTGCCGTACATGACGTCATGGGCCGATAGCCAACAGGCAGCAAAGAAGATGCCCTCGTTGATGCTTACCTTTCCTTTTCTTCTTGGGAGATTGAGGTGATACTGAAGGCCAAAGGAGTTGACAAGCAGCCTAGCATAGCTAATTCGAGGGGACCACTGCCGGTGCAGCGAAAGGAGCAGCCTCGAATCGTGATCTAGCTTACGGGACTGACATCGCTTAGGCAATTCGAAAAGCATTCTTGAAGCCCAGTGTTTGTTCCACTCGTCTAGCTCTTCGTTGAAGGTACGAATACACGCCATCTTGGCCTCGTGGTCAACAGTAGCGTGGATAGATTTTGCCGTTGTCTTGGTGGTTGCCGCCTTCGTCTTCTGTAGTCTATGCTTGAACGCAGGGGCAGCCGACCGACGGAGATTCCAGGTACGAAGATGCTTGAGTTGGCGACACAGCATACGAAGCAAGTCGACAAGCGCGGCGATCGCCGTATTCCAGGGGCGATTTAGCCTTTCATCATCTTCACCTCCGTGGATTGCTACAAGGCACCATCTACGGCAGTGGATGATCAGATCATCGTCTTGGAGCATGTCCTGCTTACCCATTAGGGCTGAAAAGCTTTTGTTGACTATATAGCAGCATAACCACGTCCGCTGCCGGTTGAAAATCTCGAGTTTTGTGTCATGGGCGATATTTTTGAAATTGTTGATGACGTCCTCGAATGCGCCCTCGTGCTGCTGTGAAATGCCCAGATCGGTAGCAATGCGCATCGCTAGGCCGCTGTACACCCAAGATCGATCATCGTTCCAGTGTTTCGAATCGGGCATCCACATGGCAAAAAGCAGCAGCCCCTGGACTATTTCGACGCTCTTTGTGCCCTGACTGAAGCATTGTGCGGCCAGGCGCTCAGCTTCCACGCAACATTTGGCGCTGATTTCTGGCTTTTCATGGTTTGCCATGTTGCGGCTTCCCACCGCCCAGACAACGGCCAAAAGAAAGGCCGACCGGCTGGCGACCAACGCTGGCGTGTGAAAGCTACGGTCGAGGATGAGAAAGTGTTGAGCATATCGTTCATAGAAGGTGTCGAAGATGCCACAGATGTTTGTCCAAGACAGAAGGCCGTGCTCGAGTAAACGAGAGGTTACGCACTCCTCATTGCCAATTTGCTGAGAAGATTCTCAGCTTCGCAGTCTTCGCGTTAAGGATGAGAGCAACTCACAAATGGAGCTGCTCCCGGCTTTGGTCGAACAAAGCGTTTGCTCGATGTGCGAATTGCAGAGAATGTGGAAGATGTTGCTGGAGTTGTTGATGCCTTACTTTCTCTTCCCTTTCCTTTGCTCTCCACCTGACCTTTTCGTCCTTCGTTGTCGTAAGCAGTCGCGTCTTCTTCGGTCTCACTACTCGGAAAAGGATCTACCAGCACTTCCAGCGAGTCCATGCGGCCGACGGGGCCCAAATATCGCTCGGAGGCGTACTTTCCCCCCTTGCTCTTCCTGGGTAAGTCCGTTGATTTTGATGTGCTGGGTGACGTGAAGCTGACTGGCAAGGTCTGAGTGGTCCCTTGTCCTATTGTACCTCCTTTGTTGTTTGTTTTATCCTTGAAGTCTTGCTTCTTCTTTTTCTGACGCCCGCTGATGAATTCCTCAAGCTGTGTCGTAGCCTCGTCCACTCTGGCCTGGAGCCAATCCCGCTCTTCCTCGTCAGTCTCGTGCGCCTCTGTTGGGGATTTGTGGAGCTGCTGTCGGTCGCCTTGTCTCAAGTAACGTGCTGAGTGCTGACGCCACATGCCGCGTGGCAGCGAATCGAAGCGGCAGTCATAGCCCAGCCGGGCGCATCGCTGGCAAGGTGGACTGACCCCATCTGAGTTCGCCTTTTCAGGCCTTAACGGCACGCATCGCACTTTCAGTCGTCGACAAGTGACGCAAGCAATCGCGCCTCTTCGCTTCTTGCCTTTTTTATTCTCGTGAGCTTCGCTGCTTGTTGGCATACCCTCACTCGGATCTTCTGCAGACGAACTGGTGTCACCAACCCCGGACAGGAGTTCATAAGAAGTGGGCGGACAAAAACCTGAACCTTTTTGACCTCCGTGCCCTGCTTCGGTCTCATAGCAATAGATTCGGTATGCTCTGACCAACTGTGGAGCAACCTCAACGATAACAGCCCTTTCTTGAACCCTTCCTCGTTCGGATAGAACAGGTGACTTTCTTCTCTCAAAACCCAGGACGGGAAGAGAACTAAACTAGTACCGAATAAATATTTTTAGATTGACCAACTCAAATGACGCCGTATCATAAGCTACTCCGCGAGTCTCACCCGGCACCTGTCTTCAGATGAAGATGCTCAGACGCTATTTGAAACTCCTTGGCGTTTGCAGTATGTTTTCTTAGGTCCTACACACTTCCTTCCTGGTGGCAATCTTACCTCTTGAATTGTGAAAGCCTTGGGGGAAGGGACCGAGCAGGATATCACTTGCTTAAGGTCTGTTCCCAATTTCTCTCTTTCTTATTGAGACAATGGACCGTGCAGTGGAGTCGGGTAACCTGCGTCGAAAACACCATGTGCGGATTTGAAACCTTATCGGTGCGATCGGTGTCGAGAGGTCGTTTTCTGTGAAGCACCGAGCGCTTGGCTCTTTTGAGCTTGCCACCAATTACGTGCCACGAACAGCACTGACAACCATTCGCCCATGCCGACCCTTTCAGCCTGCGCCAGGGCAGCGGAAAGGTCATGACCAAGTCGATTCCGCGCTAGCGGTCCTTAAGACCGCTCAAGGACACCCCCTCTCTCTTCGAAAGGAACTCCTCACACCTGTTAGATGCAAAAAAACACAAAAAAACGTTTGTGGTCAAGCTCGGAGGCAAGATGTTCCTCAATGCTGACGGCAAGATAACGACGTATAGCACACTGCAAATGACACCGCTGCAAAATATGAGAAAACGCCGTCTTCGACGTGGTTGTCACGGTGCTTTGGTTTCTTGACATCTGGCCTGTGCCCTTTGATCGAGTGAGCAAAGTGGCGAACCTGAAGATTGAGAAGCACGATGCATAAGTAGATCATGGCCTTCGTGATACGAGACAAGGGAGAGCAGGGATCCAACAAAACAAAGAAGAGCCCTCCACACCAGCAGATACCAGCGCTCGCTCCGTCGCCCGACCACCCGCCTCTCCTCGCGCACTTGAAGCATCTCGCGCACTATGAGCCACGCCATCTTGCCACCCACTCATGCTGACAAAGTACCATTAAGGCGTTGGCGATCTTTATGTCGGCAGACACCATATCTTTTCACCGCTCTCCATGCTGCTGACACTCCATAGAGTCGAAATGTCGCCGCTCCTCTACTGCTGTCGAGCCATTCGAAGTAGGTTGTTAGCTTCCCAACTGTGAGTAATGATATCTCTAGCATGGATAATGAAGCGATATAGCTGACTAAATTTTAAGTTCAGCTTTGCTTTCATCTCGCGATATGACCCAAAGGACTATGACCAAGCGTACGTTGGGAATTCTGTAGCAGAATCGCCATGGTCTCGCCGTGTTTGAGACTGATTTGGGAAGAACAGCACACCTCTCGCAGACGAGCGGCAGTCATCGAAGGCTCTTATAATTCATCTGCCGCGAGCTCGGCCTCGGTCAAACGCTGATACACGTATCTGCTCAACCAACAAGACGTCCATGATGCAGCTCTATCAAACGACAGAACTCACCTCTCGGCCTCAGTAATGAACGTAGGAATTCTCTTCCCCTTTTTGGAGCTGCGAGTGCTCAGTATAAACGTGTCCAGATGCGTGACCCAGCTATATCTGCAATGAAGCGCAAAGCTTCTGCTCTCACAAGCTGAAATCTTATCGCCATGACGTCCGCTTTAGATTTGTGCGATCTTCGCTGCCCTCTCACAGATTTCTAAATCAGCCTGCCGCGATGCTGCTCTCCGCGAGGCGACTCGGCCAACAGCACGAAGGGTGCGTCTACAACGCGCGTAGAAAGTCCACATTCTGACCTAACTCTCATATCGAGTCGTAAGGCGCGGTAATGAATTAGCTACATCAACGCGGCAGCGCCCCGGGACGGCATCCAAGTGCTCAAATTTCAAGTCATCTCAACTTGAAGAAAGCCACAGCAAATTCTCAGACGAGCCAGACTACCGGAGATGTCTCGTTAAGCGGTGATATTTAGACGCTGTGCTCCAAAGAGAAGCATCCAATGAAGGTCAAAACAATCCATATTGGCTTCAGCGTGAGAAGGATTAACGCTTACAGCCTTCTTGCTGAGCGGGTTTGGAAGGACAAGGACCTCTTCTCCCGTGGTCACCAAAGCAACATTGCGTGTGCAAAATTTAGAAGTGTCGCTCACGCTCGACACGTCCTAGAGTGTGGAAACAATCGAACATGGATGCCAGATCTGCGGCTCCCTCTTCTACAGCGTTTGCAAACAACAATACAGGACTCGGGCAAGCTTTCAGATAACCGCAGTCTCCAGAAGCTCGATCACCTCGGAATCCCATTGGTGCTAAATGAATCCATTAAAGTTCAGGAATCTGCTGAGGAAGTTGAACAAGACTGTCGATACGATAAAAGTGAGGAAGTTAGTCGATGAAAGCCTGTAGTCTGAGATGGACATCCTTTCGATTCTCTTCAGTCAGGCCCGCTAGAAGGGGGTCCTTTGAAAAGGCGGAGTCCCTCCGAAGGTCGTGAACCTCGTCAACTACGTTCGTATCGTTCTCCTCGCACCTAGAAGACATGCGCGCTTGTTGGGTGCGAACGTCCACGATGTCTCTGCTACTGATACAAGAGCAAATCGCGCGTGGGTGAGTACGAAGGTCGTCGTCGTCCAGGTGTTTCCCGATTCTACCTGGACAACAGCCTGTTCCAGATTCTCGTCATTGACGTTCAGGGGCAAGCGCGTCGTGGTTTGTGATGGTTGGATACGATACGTCAAATGGCGTGTGCCGCCCAATGACCAATCCGCGATGCAAAGGTATGTCCACATTCGTACTTCTGTCTCCAGCTTGACAAAGTCGGCAGCGCTCTTTCTCTGATTGCGGGTGGGCGCGCCTAGCCGATGGAGCCCGAGTTCCTGAGCGTTCGATAAAGCCAGATTCAGCAGCACCGCTCCGCGAAGGAGGATTACGCAGACCGCTTGCAGGCCCTCTATGCTACCCAAAGTCCCTGAGTCTCCAAGCCGAAGACATTCTTTGACAATATGAAACCAGTTGATGGCCTGAATTATGCCGTTCTCGTAAACCTTTCGGATCTCTTTCTCGCCCAGTGTTGTACGAAATCCATCGTAATTCCTGCTGGCATATCGCTCGAATCCCAAGCAAAGAATCATCAAAACCTTCGCAAGCGCGTACGATTTCATCGCGTCTTCGCCCTTGACAATAGTTGTCTCGTGCTCGCTCAGGTTGTGAACCATCCTCATGACGCCTGGGCCATGGACTACATGTCCGACACGATGATTGATGTGCCGAAGGAACGTAGTTGTGAGCTCTTCGATAATGTTGATACTCGTTCGAGCATCGACGCCCATGGCCGCTCTAATGACATTTGCGCTTTCCGAAGAGTGAAGTAAATCAGTACCTGCGTTCATCTGGGCGTCAGTCTGAAGAAGCTTGGATGTCTTTTGCGGAGAACGGATGAGGCATCATCTCGAAAGAATTTGTTCGAGGGACTCACGGACTGCGAACCGAGATAGGATACGGGTGTCACGTTTCCACCAGAGCCAACCAGCGAAAGGGGCAGAGCTATTGCCCTCGGATACCTTTCCCTGCTCCTTGAAGAGTACCTCTGCGACCAAAGTCGATGATGGCGAGCATCGTAGGTGGGGCCGTAATCGCGCTCAAGCTCAGCGATTCGCATATGTAGTGAGGCGACCTCCGTCCAGCCATTTGCTACGATCGTATGCTTGACAAATGCACCCTCTTGCCTGTTTGCTGTGCGACTATACGCTGCGAAGTCAGAGGCGTCTTTCTGTGGTGTTTCAATGGGTCCTGGTACGTACTTTCTATTCCTCCGCCCTCGCGGTTTACATACATCACGATAACAGTCTTCACTAACACCCAGATTGATACAGGTCGAGCAGAACGCTGATCCTTCCTCGTAACGGCATCGCACCTTCTGGAGCGGCATGTCGAGCAACTGGGTGTCAGTCGGGGAGCAGAAGCCGTCGAAGTACCTTCTCTCTGCGCGGCTTCTTTCGCTTTCTCTTGATTGCTCGTTGACCCTCGCTCGAATTGAAGTGTACTCATGCTGACAATTGGCATTTGAAGGGTCCACTGCAACTCTTGTCGTCTGGTGTCGTACGTTTTCGCTCTCAAAAGCTGTAAAGTACAGAGGTTGGAGAAAAAAAGTTGGGGTCGCAGAGCTGAATTGCGGAGATGTAGATGAATAAACGGGTGGATCCTGCTTTTTTCTGCCGTTCTCCTTCTGTATAAAACCTCCACCTTCTCTGCTTCGTCAGATCCTTCGTCGTACAATAATTCCTGTGTCCTCATGATAGTGTCGCAACTCAAGCGGCAGAATTAGATAAATATGGAATACTTTCATACAACTTTTTGGAGTCATGCGCTAATCCCAAAGCTCGGTCGAGATAGTGCCGCCTTCGTGTACATTTGAGCAATTGCACATCAGTACGATGGGAAGGAATTTGTTATGTTAGATGTTTTTTTCTTCTATACTTCCCCGCTTGCACGCGATTAAAGTTCTTCGGGTTTATAGTGTCCCCTTCTCAAGCTATTTCAATGCCTTCTTATTTCTTCTCCCCGCGTTCTCTTATACTTTCGGAAAAAGCAGCGGACAGGTAGCGGAGCGCTGAATAGCGCGCGTAGGCGCCATGCAAGAATAGACTCTTGTCTTGTTGACACTTTCGGGAAGCTCTTCATTTCGTAAATTTCATGACACGCTCGCTTTCGTCACAGAAGTGGGAACAACTTCAGGGACCGCCCTACGATGAGAAGCTCATGCTAACGAATGGAGTTGGACGACGTTTCCTCGTCATTAAGACGAAAACGATGCCAGCAAGGTCGACGAGGCCGTTCTTCGTTGGCTTTCGCGGTTCGACACCAAGTACTCCATTAACCTGCCCGAAGCCAAGATGCGCAAGCGCTTTAGCAACAAGTGGCTCCAACAAAGCGTTAAGCACTCGGCCTTGGTCTTTCCGGAGGGCTCCCAGACGCTGATTCGTAGAGTGTGGCTCTCGTGCACAAGACCCTGAACCTTCGCATTTCTCAGGAGCTCTTTCTCTCCTTTTTGCTTGGTATTGCTTCCAACGATGTCACAGAGGCGAAAGCTTCAAGCTCCTCCGTCATATCGATGTGCTTCACGAACAGACGAAGGCAGTCGAACAAGACCCTTCACCCCACGTTACCTTGGCACGACTGAGCCTTGTTCAGTTTTATGATGCCGCTAGTCAATGCTCGTGACCCGGCCTTTCTTTCACTCCCCGCATGGAGACCGGATCGAAGGTACACACTCGTCAACGTCCATGCCCAGACCACTTCGCCGTTGCCCGAGCGCGCGCAAGAAAGGGACATTCTGTAGCCTCGCGGATAACATGCCAGAGCGGTCGCTCGTTGGTACCGTGCAACGCGCCCTTCAAAGAAGGATGCCATTATCTTACGATTGGAATACTTGGTGGTGTAAATGTTCTGAGGGTCCACCGAGCAGCCGGCTGAGCTGACAAATGAAAAGGCGAGAATCTCTTTTGCCTCAGCTCGTGAGGTGGATTGGCCAATCCGAGAGCTAGCATATCTGGACGTGCAGGAACTCTTTCATCAGACCCTTCGTGACCCTGATCCGATGCGGCGCAAGCGAAAACCTCGATGGTGCGGTAGATTGATAAAGAGCGTCATGCTTTACAAGCCCTCTGGCAACACAACACACTGCACCGACAAGTGACAATGCTCGACAAGAACGCACGCGACGTGGCCGCCGCGGTGGCTGGCATGGAGCGGAGCCCGGGTCAGGAGCCCACGGACGTCGACCGTAGCCTGCTGTACACGTCTACCGACGGACGCCCCTACCCGAGCCTGACGACGAGCCTCAAAGTGGGGGCACACCCGGTGCAGAGCGACTCTCTGCTGCTCGAGAAACAGCAGGCTTTTGACCGCATGAAGATCCAGGAGCGCATCGTGCACCCCAGCGGCAGCTCTGCATTTGGTCGCTTCGAGGTCACACACAATGTGTCGAAGCTCACCAAGGCTAAGATGTTCCAACTGGGACAGGTGACGCCGGCCTACACTCGCTTCAGCACCGTCACGCTCGGGCGCGAGTACCCCGACAGCGCGCGCAACCCGCGCGGATTTGCGACCAAGTTCTACACCGAGGACGGCAACTACGACCTCGTGGGTCTCAATTGGCCCATCTTTTTCGTGCGCGACCCTTGGCTGGGCCCGGACAACATCCGCTCGCAGCAGCGCAACCCCTCGTCGTTTCTCCTCGACTTTGAGGCCTGGTTCGACTTCTTTGCCAACGTCCCCGAGTCGAACCACACGGGCCTCATGCTCCTCTCGGACCACGGCACCCCCGTCGGCTGGCGCTACATGAGCGGTTTTGGCTGCCATACATTCTCCTGGGTCAATGCGTCGGGCGAGCGGACGTTTATCAAGTACCACTGGCTGAGCCAGCAGGGCACGCGCAACCACACGCTCGAAGAGGCCACTAAGATGTGCGGCGAGAACCCCAACTATGCGAAGCGGGACCTCTGGATGCACCTCGCGGGCGGCGGCAAGTGTGCCTGGCAACTGTGCGTGCAGACTATGACGCCCGACGAGGCCGACAAGGTCGAGTTTGACCCCTTTGACGTCACCAAGGTGTGGCCGCGCGACCAGTTCAAGATGCAGCCCGTAGGCAAGTTGACACTGGACCGCAACCCGGAAAACTACTTTCGCGATGTCGAGCAGGCCGCCTTCAGTCCCGGTTCCATGGTGCCTGGTATCGAGGCATCGCCCGACAGCCTCCTGCTCTGGCGCATGTTCTTCTACCGCGACGCCCAGTACCACCGCCTGGGCGTCAACCTGCACCAGGTGCCGGTCAATTGCCCCCCTTATGGCCGCCAACCAGAATGCAGACACCTAGGACGGGGCCATGCGCGTCGACGACAACAACGGCGGCAAGCCCCAATTTATGCCCAACTCGCTTCAGGGCAAGGACAAGGGCGCCCCCCTGGTGCAGCCGTCGACGACCGAGGTGCCTCAGGCCATGTACTCGACGAGCCAGATGGTCTCGGCACCGCCCACGCTGGCGCGCTCGGCGGCCAACTTCCGTCATCGAGGCAAAGCGTCCGAGTACGACCAGGCACGCTATCTCTGGCGCGAGAAGATGTCGCAGGAGGAGCGCCAGAACACGGGCAAGAATACAGCCTTCTTGCTCGACACGTTTCAGAATGCCGAGGTCAAGACTCGGTTTTTGGCACAGCGCTTTGCCATCTCGCCCGACTACGCGCAGCTGATTGTGGCGAGCATGAAGGAGAGCAAGGGCGTGCAGCTGGCCGAGATCGAGGCGCAGAGCAAGACGGCACACCTCGTCAACGTCGACCCCGGCCACTCGCTCGGCATGGCAAAGGACACGTCGTTCATGGGCATGAAGCAGTGTCCCTACCAGTTCAAGTCCTGATGCGACAGTCTGTCCTGGCTGCTGTTTTTGTGTTTCTTGAGGCCTGAATCTCGCTGCCAGCCCTCTCAATGTGTCTTGATTTCTGCATGGCTGGTGATGATACCTTCCTCAATTTCGAATGAGAGATTCCTGCGGCTAGTCACGCCAAGCTACTTGATGCAGTCTGAGCGGCCTGTTGACGCGAGTCCGGAGACTAGCTCGAGCAGCCCAATTCATGTGACGTGTGCCCACAGTGGCGGGCAAACGGCGAGGACCTATCTCGCCTTTGCCTTGGATTCGAAAGTCACTCGATCCCCTCGGCGATGGGCAGCCGGACGGCAACCTCTTGACCTGTACAGTTCCGCGGCAGGATTGCAACGAGCGGGTGATTCGACTGGATTTGAGCCGCCTCTTTCCGTGCGGTCGAGTTCTTCGTGCTGAGCACAGATAGCCAGACGATACCTGCCATGCCCTGCAGTATGTAATGGAACTGTAGCGGGACCAGAGCCAGATTGATAGCTGTGGCAGAGGTCCAGAAGAAGATGCCCTCAACGCACGCCCTGGGAAAGCTGTCATTGATGCGCTGCGCCGCAGAAAACCATCGCAAGAGACCCCGGTTGGCGGTGCCGTAGTCGCTGAGGGACTGCATGTCGAAGAAGTAGGAGTTGAGCATCGGTGCAAGCGTGACCAGGTCCAGTCCGACCTTGCAGAGGATGCTCTGGGCCCGAGGTACGTATTCCACAGCGTCGAGAGAATAAGAAGGAGCAGTGAGTCTGGAGCGCAGCCGTTCCTCCATCACGAGCGCCCGCCATGCGAGCGCGATAATATTGGAACGCCTGGCTTCCGTCGACGCCGTCTCGTCTGGCATGCTCCAGCCCTTGAGCCAACAAGTCCCCCGCAGACAGCACGTAGAGGATCGGGTACAGGCTGCGCCCAGCTTCATGATATGAGCGTCCTGGTGGTGGGTGTCACGGCGGAAGCTCGCGGATAGAGGTCCCGATGCGCACTTCCCGCTGGACGGAATAAGGTCGGACGCGGCCCCGGCTAGGTTTGGACGGACCGTGCCTCGATCCTTGCTGGCTTGACACTTTTGGCCAACGCGCCTTTGGCATCTCGACGGCCGAGGCGCGGCTTATGACGCCGCAGACGCACAAGTTCATCGAAGTCACCTACCGCGCACTCCAGGGCAGCAGCGTCGAGACGACGACGATGGGCGTCTTTGTCGGCGGGTCCCAGGTGCGCCAGAAGCCGCTCCACGAGTCTGAGTTCTCAGCCGATGCCCACCACCAGACGGGCCAGTGCGACTGCATGCTCGCCAACCGGCTGAGCTTTGTCTTTGACACACGCGGGTCCAGCTACAACACCGACACGGCCTGCTCGGCCAGTGCGACGGCGATGCACCTCGCCAGTGAAGCGCTGGCGGGCGTGGCGAGTGCGAGTCGGCCTTCGTTGCGTCTGCCAGCCACCTGGCCGCGGTCGAGGACCACATTGGGTTCAGCCACCTCACCGTGCTCTCGCCCGACGGACGCTGCAGCGCCCTGCCCGAAGACGCAAATGGTCATGTCCGCGGCGGGGCCGCCGTCAGCATCGTCCTCAAGCCGCTTGTTGCCGCACGCAGAAACGGCGACCGCATTCAGGGTACGATCCCGGGCACCGTACTCAACGCGAATGGCGCGACTGCGGCCGGCCTCATGTCGCCCTCGGAGGCCTCGCTGCGCGCGTGCGTGGCTAAGGCGTGGCAATCAGCCGGCCTGGAGCCGCGCCTGGCCAGCTACGTCGAGGTGCATGCCACGAGCACTACAGTCGGCGACCGCATCGTGGGCGCCTCGCTCGATATCTCTGGCGGTGCATCGCAGTCGCGCGCCAAGCCCCTCATCGTGGGCTCGGTCAAGTCCAACGTCGGCCACAAGGAGTTCTGCGCCTTTCTCGTGTCGCTCATCAAGGCGCTTCACATTCTCCGCCGCGGCAAGACGGTTCCACAGATCTGTGCGCAAAGGGCAAGCAAAGCGATAGAGTGGGTGTACCATCTCTCGTTCCCATTCAGGAACTTGCAATGGATGATCTAAAGAGCAGCTGGAACTGTGTGATCCAAAGAGCAGCTGGAATTGTGTGCAGGCAATGCACAAAGATTGCTTCTGGCGAGCCGCTGGGCGCGCGCCCCTGGATCGGCATTACTGCCTCGGGCCTCGGCGGCTCCAGCGCGCATGTCGCCCGGGGGGGGGGCAGAGGGGGCGGATACGGAACAAAGGACACTCGACATCGCGGATGGCACTCGACGAGTGGTAGCGAGGGAAATCCAGACGATAGAGAGCAGCAGCTGCACCTGTTTGTCGTCAGCAGCCTCACCGAGCCGGCTACCTGCGCAGCTCTGCCACCAGCTCGACTTCTTCGAACCCAGACACGGATATCGCGCAATGGCGTCGACCCTCGCTCGACGGGCGAGACAGAATCCTTGGGCGACGTAAGCAGTGGGTCACAGTATCGCAAGGACTTTGAAAAGGGCTGGGCGACCGATGCCCTGGGCTGAGGCTTCCCCTGCCTTTCTCTTTCCTGACCAGGGGCCACAGCACCTTCACATGGGCCGGGCGCTCTTCGGGCGGTTCAGTGCCTTTCGCGAATCGGTGCTCCGCAGCGACAGAGTCTATCGGCACGTCGTGGGCAGGAGTCTGATCGAGGACGACGGTCTGTTTGGCGCGCAAAGAGGAGTGCTGTGGGAGAACAACAGTCGGTGGTCCAAGCTCACAAACAGCCCCAGTAAAGTTGATCAAGCACCAATTTTTATTTTCCGGAAAAGCACAGCTTTTGGCCTATAAACGGAAAGATTAGGTGAGTCGCCGTCGTAGAAAGGTGGACAGAGAAGCGCATGCACCCTTCTTTGGAGGTCTGGGCGGTAAGATAAGGTAGAGGTGGCGAGCGACTCGGGTGAATGACGAGGTTGTGATGCGCAGACATCTTTTCCGTCTCCTCAGGCGGTCTGACGGAAGATGCGGAATCGACCAGAGAGTTTTCTCGATGCACAAGATCAAAGCTTCCGGATGGGCCGCATTGGATGCGTCTACATGGTTGGAAGAAGGTAGACCTACGGAGGAGGGGTATCTACGAGCCAATCTGTGATATCAGAATTAGCGAGGAGTTTGGCTGAGGAGAGTCTCTGCAATGGCTATTTTAGCGGAAGCAATTGTGACGAGAAGCGAAGATAATAAGCGTCTCAAACCACTTCCGTTAAGAATGGCACATGAGCTCACGACAGCTTCAAGAAGACTGTTGATCAGAGTTTTCTCAGGGAGATCGAAATTGGCAAGAGCGGCCAAGCTGCGACCTCGTAAGATATTCTGATCCCTATTGACAGCACCTTCTTCGAACAAGTGTCTGTTGAAAGAGAATCATAAGAGACTTTGAGGCCCTCAGCAAGTCTTTTGCCCTCACTTTCCTGTCAGCATCTGGAAGAAAAATCCGAGGGACCACAAGTCGCTTCTGGCGCCGTACTTCTCGCATCACAGCATTTCCTATTATCACAGAAAAGCGGTTGGGACAAGGTAAGCTGCCACAGCTCGTGTGTCTCATGCACACGTTTTCACTTACTGGCGATCTGAAGCCAGGCGTCTGCATTGAAGGAGAAAATGAGCACAACTGCACGGTACAATAGGATGAGGGATATCTGCACTTACACCTGCAATGCCCCAATGTCCGTTCGTGTATTTGAATCCTTGGAGAGGTTTTTTCACAGCTAGCTAGAGCAGAACGAGACAATTCAATTGCTGCAAAAGTCATAGTTACGGGCAGTTGGAAAATCGTCGTCGTCGGAGCGTCCTTGGACCACGTGTGTTCTTCCCCGGACGAGCCGAAGGCTCGTCTTTGATGTACTTACTTCTCTTGATCTAACTACAACTTCAATTGATTGACATCGCCCTCGAATTCAGCTACGTCTGAGAGGGCACCGGTCGGTGCGCGCGCAGCGCGCAACGATTGTCGGCAATGACGCCGATCGCTTCGCGATCGACGTCGCCGAGGGGATTGATCTCCCTTTGAGTAAAGATCAGGCAGTTTGGGTGTACTATACAGCCCCAGCCGGAGGTCTTCGCTGGCGCTCAGGCACTCCGTTGAGGATTCGCAGCAGATCCAGTACTTCCTCGATGATCGTACGCTCCGCCGTGGTCGCCTCCGGCGACCACGTGGTTACCGCTGCGCCCGAATTCTCAACTCGGGCCGATCTGAAGAATCGATTTGTGGGGCTTCACAAAGCACTGCCAGAGTTAAATGGCCGGCATCTGGTCGCCTCAACCCGGCTGCTTCAATTGCACATCGCTCAATAAACAACAGTATCCTATCCTGACTTCAAAAATTTTCGGTAAATTTGACATTCGTTTGGACTTAACGGCTCGAACCCCCCACTATTTATTCTCTTTGGTAAGAAAAAGTTACCTTCATTTTTTTTAAAGTTCAGGACGGCGCGTGCCAAAAAAAAAAAGCCTATCGGCATGCCGGGTAATCGAAGAAGCACGTGCTGAACAAGGTGCATATCGGTAAGCCCACCAGGGTTCTCGGGGTAAAGTGATCGTCAGAACCTCCATCGCGCCATTTCTGTCAGTATTTCAGCTTCGACGGCCAGTGATTGAAATCTGGCTAGGGGAACAAGAGATCCAAGTCTTCAATCCGCCATTACTATTGGCCTCGAAAATGAATGAAGAAGGGGTGCAAGCTGCCTTGACATCAACGGCCAACGACAGTGCTGCTCCCTCGACTTCAAACTGGAGGACAAATGACCGCAGCAGCACCTGCGACGGTATCGTCGGAGCGGCAGAATTGGAGGAGGGAAAGAAGGGTCATTGCGCACGTGGGAGTAACGAGCATTCGGAGAGTCAAGGTCAAGGCTTGGTGCGACGCGTGAAGGCCGAGTTGAGGAGGATCACCCTGCATTTTACTCCGAGCTGGTTCAGCGTCAACATGGGCACAGGTATCTCCTCCATTCTTCTCCATCAATTGCCCTACCAATTCAAGGGATTAGGCATCATCTCAAACGTCATTTTCGGGCTCAACGTGCTCCTCTTCGTAATCTTTTGCCTATTCAGCATCTGCAGATATACCGTCTGGCCAACGATGGGTCCAACGATGCTCTTTCATCCCAGCCAATCACTCTTTCTGGGCACCTTTGCCATGGGATTCGCTACGATTGTCAACATGTGCGCCTTATCGGCAGCACCTGCCTTTGGATCAGGGTTCGCGACTTTTACCTGGGTCCTGTGGTGGCTCGACTCCGCCTTCTCTATCGTCATCTGTATTGGACTGCCGTTCCTCCAATTTACCCGCCATGAACAGAGTCTCGACAAGGTGACCGGGGTGTGGTTCTTGCCCGTCGTGTCCACCATCGTAGCCAGCGCAAGTGGAGGCATCGTGGCCACCATCCTCCCGCCTGACCATGCCAGGCTCACGTTGGTCGTCTCTTGGATCCTTTGGGGAACCGGCTTTCCCATGGCAATTCTGCTCATGGCCATCTATTATCAACGATTGGCGATTTACAAGATTCCACCGGCAGCAGTTATCGTCAGTGCCTTTTTGCCTTTAGGGCCGTGCGGTCAAGGCGCATTCGCAATCCTGCAAATCTCTTCCTCGCTCAAGGATCTCGTTGCCATAAGCGGACAGGCTTTGATCGCAGGCCAAGCCAAAGACGACGCTGCTTGGTTTGCACAGGCGATATTTGCAGCCACGATCCCGATGGCTTTGGCGATATGGGGCCTCGGCCTTGTTTGGCTTGTGCTTGCGGCGAGTTTTCTGATTGACCTGGCCTTGGTGTCTAAGCTCAGCTTCAACCTTGGCTGGTGGGGTTTTACATTCCCTTTAGGCGTCTTCTGCACAGCCACAACACAGTTCGGCAAGGAGCTCAACAGTTCTGGGTTCAAGATATTGGGAACAGTTCTCTCCTTAATTGAGGTCGCTCTCTGGCTTTTCATTGCCTTTCGGACACTCGTCGGCGCTCTTAGCGGCAAGCTCTTCTTTTCGCCATGTCTTGCCGAGCAGGGTGGTGAGCCACCCGAGTATGTTGCACCAGCACGCAAGTACGATTTCGTGGCCAGGTCCAGCAATTCTTGAATTCATCCATGCCGACTATCTTCCCCCGGCCTTCGTTTTGATACGAGTACCTTTTCTTTTCGCCGCGACCGTTTCCATCGGCCAATCATAGCACTCTCAGCCAACTCGTGTACCTCTGCTACGTCGCTCTCGCCCTCTTGACCACGCTGTTCTTCTTTTAATGATTGTGTGCTGGTTGAGGAGAATCTACCATGTACCTATCATACGGACCTAGTTTTGGACATGTTTTTACTAGTCTCTCCAATGATTCGCCTTGACCAACTTACTTTCAGCGCACGCTATCTGCAAATTTCGCGAGCTGCTGGGACCGTAAGCAGATCGGTAAAAGACTGCAAAAACGAAAACAAAGCTGCCGTTCTGTGCGGGTGGAGGCTCATGGAATGAAGCACCCATTGCAAGGAGAGCATTCCCTCCAGTTTGAGACACCGCACCCTCTGGACAAGACCAATTTCTGTGATATTGAACGCACGGTGGCGGCCAAGGAGATCTACACGTTCGAACTCAAGGCAGTCAAGACAGGGATGCTAGTGTACAAGATGTTCCTCCCGCTGGGAGAAGGGCATGGGAGCATTGAGTGCATTGTGCAGCACGAGCAGCAAGGACTGAGGGTCAAGATCTATCCACGCTATGTACACACGATCAAGGCCCAAGGACGTTAGTATAGCCGTATGGATCCGCGGACAATGGGCACGGCCAAGACACGGCTGCGAGCAATTGAGCAGTTTGTCTCAGAGATGGACCAGTACCGCCAGCTGGGGGCTTACCGGATAGAAGTGTCAGTGAGGGCAGCGACATTGTCTGAGGTGCTGTCTATCCTGGAAGAGAAGCCGCTGCTGATGCTGAACAGCTGGGATGACTGGCAGTCTGTGCGTTGCTTCACAGTGAAAGAGGTGCGCGGCAATGCGCTGGCTATGCTGGGGCATGCGTGGCGGCAGAACATCCTGATGAGGCGGGGCAGCAAGCAGATGGATGACCTAGGGAAGCAGGTGATCTGTGACCCGGGGAATTGCTTCGTGCCAAGAGATAGGAATCAGAATTCAGGAATGTTTTGAACAAATGTGGGGTATGTTTCTATAGCTTTAGCAAATGCAACTTTCAGCTCTACCAAAAACGTCAGCAGTTGTTACGTGCCAATCATTTGTGGTGTCCTTTTGAATCGTGCGCTATCTACTGATGATGAGGTTTTAATATTCCTCGTGAAAGTGTTCTACTGCCAGAGATGTCCGTGCGTAATCCCGCGTCGGGTTAGGGGATTAGGGTTAGGGGTAGGGGGAGGGTTAGGGTTAGGGTTAGGGTTAGGGTTACTGTTCCCACTTTTCCCATTGTTCCTATTTTTCCCATTATTCGCATTGTTCGCATTGTTCGCATTGTTCGCATTGTCCCCATTGTTCCCAATGTTTCCGTTATAATTCATTTTCCCCTTGATCTGGACAATCCTATACTGTCCAGAAGAGTCAGAAAAGAACCAGTATAGAACCTGACGTATAATTTTCGAGTGCGATCCAGCAGAAATGGGATAAGAATGTTTGGAAAGGCTGTGTCGCTCCTTTACCAGCACAATTCTTTAGCATGCTAGTAAGAAAGCTCCATTTATATTTGCAAGCCCTTGGTCAAGACTTGAGATCAGCTATTTGTTTGTGAGCTGCTTAAGTATGAATCCCCTGGCCCTACAAATGCCGTTAAATGGCAGTCTCGTTCTTTTCTCCCCAAATAGCTCTTTTAGGTGTTTTCCTAGAACGGTTTCTCTGGCTGGAATGCATCCTTGTGTGATTATGGCCTTACCAAGAAAGACTGCTACTTGCGAAAATGAAAAAAGAAAAAATGTCCTTGTTTGCCATCTGGTACCGTCCCTCGAACCAATAATTTAGTAGTTGGAATCGCGCGTTCGAAATGTTTAGCTCGAACAGATTGATGCAGAGCGCTAAAGCGAAGGGATTTCTTGGCGGGTGAATGGTCCCGCGAGGTCAAGAAGGGAGGCATCGTAATACTCCTCCCTTCATTCTGGCTCATGTGGACAGACGTTTTCGTCATCTACCCACAAACTTTGCGAGTCTGCCAGGACAGAGAACAAGCCATGGGACGCGAATGCCATCCGTAGATTGTCGCAAAGCCGGCTGGTCTACCGACGTCTATCAAGGAATACACATCCTTTGAATAGTCTCGCAGAAAGCGGATATACCGGCTAGATGCGAAGCGGTCGAATGAGCTCAGTTTTTCGGTACTAACGACTTGGCGAGTAGCCGTCTTCGGGAGAGATTTTGTCTTTTTGGGGCTAAGACGGTGACAGACGTAGAAAGCTTGTTTGGCAATCTATCTCACGCTGCATATAACTACTGTAGGTGCTCGACATCGGATATACACGGGGAGCTGACGCTCAGTAACACAGCTCTCTTTCGGTTCTCCATCACGTTGAGGCAGGTGAGAGAAGATTCGTTAGATACATTTTGAAGCTGTCCGACCTTTGTAGAGTTTTGCTGTCCTCTAAAATGCCGGAAAATATTTTAAACAAGGTGCAGGAAAGAGGCAAGCGATTTCAGCATCTCAAAAGATGGTGATGAAGATATTACAACCGTCAAACCCGCCGCAGTCGAACTAGAAATTGTCGCGCATCACGGCTTCAATTCATCACAGGCAACTCGCAGCCGACAATTCGTCTGTGGAATTGGCAAGAGGCTGAAGTCTTCTATCGAAAGCTAACGTCTCAGAATGTGAACCGGAAGGATTGATCTCATGAACGAGGAGAGGGACTTTTGCCTTCCGTTGGACTAGTAGAGCTGAGCGAGAACACCTTCATGACAAGAAATTTCGAGAAGCTTAACATATCATGGTCGCTCGAGACACTTATGCAAATTTTTATCAGAATGAAGAGCAAGAGAAAAGATTGGCACAAGCCTGCTCCTGGGATAGAAATTTCATATGTACAAACAGGAGAGGATGTCACGCCAAGCTGAGGGCATTCGAAAGGGTTGAATGCATTTGCGAGCTGTTGAAGCCCTTCCGAAGCGGTCTGAGAGAAGACAAACTTGCCAAAAATCATGAGACTCGGACTTCTTGCGGAGTCTTCCTAAAATCCGCGAAATATTACCCAGGTGGAGATGGCATCAGCTTTCTGACTTCGCCACGGCGGTATTGTTCTGGTGACAATAATGTAGGCCTGGCATAAGTTTGCCATTCCGTCACATCGAGGGCTTTTTTCGGGTTTGAACAGCTCTTTGGAGCTTGTAGGTGTCCGACTTTTTGCTGGCGTCAAATCGGATGTGAGGGATTTGCTATCGTCATCGTGCAGCGCGTATCACACCGCCTACCGATGCCTCTCCTGCTCTTGACAATGCTACTCCTGCCGGTGTTGCTGTGTCGTTGCCGCACATCTTTTTCTAAGGGTATTCGATCGACAGAAGGAAGATATGGATCGGTAGCTTCAACGTCAATCGGAGAGTACACACGTGACAGCATACCTTGCCTTAATTTAAGAGCACACACGTTCTGGTATAACTTACGCAAGTCAGTGAGAACACGTCAAATGTAGATTGGCCTATACTCTTCAAATACTCTTCTAAACTCGTCTGATCTGGTCGATCCAATGAGTCACTGAAGTGCTATGGGACCTTTGTCAGCCATCTTCTTCCTCCATGATCACTTTCATCAGCGGTTGCCTGTGTTTGCGTTGCTGTGAACCTGCCGTTTTACCTTACTCGCGATAAACGGCACTGTCAGCGCCGTAAATATGCGACTCTACGGCACTTCACCGTCCTTCATGCCTCACTTTTGTTCTATCTTAGGGTCTCTCGAAAGGATAGGATCCTGCAAAGGCCTCTTATGTCCTTGAAGAATCACTTCGTGACAAGAGCAACAATGATAGGGGATTTAAGCGTAAACAGGTAGCGTGTCAAATGGCGCACTTCATACAGTTCATATATTAAGCTCGGCCTCGCTGCACCGCGTTTGTGCTTTATCGAGGCGAGCTATCGAAGAAATCAGGCTTTCTGTGGTTTTGAGAGCTCCTGATTTGAACCCTTTTCCCGAAGAGTTGATCAAGCGCCGATCTTTATTTTTCGGAAACGCACGGCCTTTGGCCTAAAAAAAGACGAGATGAGCTGCAGTCGGGAAAAAAGAAGTGCACGCACCTTTCTTCGGAGCTCTGGGCAGTAACATAAGGTAAAAGAGGAGAGAGGCTCGGGTGACTGATGAGCTTGTGACGGACAGGTATCATTTTCGTCTCCTCAGGCGGTCCGACGGGAGATGCGGGATCAACCAGAGTTTCCTCTCGATGCACATGATCAAGGCTTCCGATGGGCTGCGTCAGAAGCGTCTATGTGGTCGAAGAGGGTGAACTCACCAAAGAGGCGTGTCTACAAGCCAATCTATGATAACAGAATTGGCAAGAAGCTGGGCCGTGGAAAGTCTTTGCAATGGCTGTATCAAATAGAAGCAATTGTGACGGTGACGAGCAACAAAGATCGTAAGTGTCTCAATGCAGTTCCATTTAGAGCCGTACAAGAGCTCACGACAGCTTGGAGAAGACTGTTGACCACATTCTTCTCAGGAGGGTTGAGTTTGGCGAGAGCGGCCAAGCTACGACTCCGTAAAATATTTTGATCTCTGTTGACACCACCTTCATCAAACAGGTGTCTATCAAAAGAGGATCATGTGAGATATGGAACTCCTCAGCAAGTCTATGGCACTCACTTTCCTGTCAGAATTTGGAAGAAAAAGCATCCGAGAGACCACAAGTCGCTTTTGACGCCGTATCGTTCGCCTCTCAGCATTTCCTGTTATCCACAGACGAGGGTTGGGACAGGATCAACAGCCACAGCTCGTGTGTCTCAAGCACAAATTTCCACTCACTGGCGATCTGAAGCCAGGCGTCTGCATTAAAGGAAAGAATGGAGAACTTATGCGGTAAGCACGGTTGCATGGTACGATAGAATGAGGAACGTCTGTGCTTACACCTGCGATGCCCCAATGCCCTTTCGCGTGTTTGTCACGTACGATTGCCAATC